CTGTATTTCACACTTTATGAATCTGATTTTCTCTTCCTCATGAGTACGTTGGGGTTTTTTTCCAAGATATTACACATTACAATAATGTATGTACAGTCTACCACAACTTATGTTCAATACAATTTTCATTGTATATATATATATATGTGGGCAAAGATGGGTAAAAAAAATCCCCATTTATGTAGGCTATGATGATGTAGTGAGAAGGAAAATGACAAGAAGAGAGGAGGAGGAGGAAGGAAGGAGGAATACTCTTGCAAGTACCTATGTATACTAGTGGTCAGGCACCATCTGATAACACATCTGACAGAGTCTAACATCTCTAAAAGCTGATGGCAATTCCAAGCCCATTCATATTCTTATTTATTGTCAGTGAACACAGTGCTTTATATAGTATTTTCAGGAAGTTTTGGGATACCCACTCCACTGGAAAAATATTTGCTTGATTTCATAAAAACCAACAGAACTCAGTTATGCATTACAGCCAAACAGCAAGAAATCTTTCCAGTTTTCAAGGATGTATTTGAAAGCAAGAGAAATTTGAGTGTCAATAGCCAATAGCTATGACCTTGTTAGGAAACTTCACAGGGATTAAAAAATCAGCACTGTATATTCAGTCTATTCAAGTTTCTTCTTTCATCCTCAGTCAAATGAAGTGAAACCATCAGTGACATGAATAGTAACTATATAGGGAAAAATACAGTAAGACATGGATTATTAACAAAAGGTAGTTGAAAGTCCTGCTTCATATGAAAAGATATTCCCTTGTTCTTAATCATGAGATGGTCTCTGCACAGGCTAATTGTATATCTTCAAAACCAAGACCAACTTTTGAAAAGTGCTCTTTTAAAGTGAACACTTTCACAATCCTATGCAGAAGAACTGGGACTGAAGTTTTGCAGCAATCTGAGAAAACACATGGTCAGTTTCTTTCAAAGCAGATTTTCATCTTGAAAGGAAGAATCCAAAGTAAGATAAGGTTTATGAAAAATTTGCCAGATGTTTGACCAAATAAAGAAGTTCAGATAGGAAAATCTACAATGCAAAGCTAGAAAGATGTCTCCTTCAATTTGCAGGCCTCATATGACCACTCCTAAAATGTATGCCAAGGACAGGAGAGAAATCTACTCCCTCCTAACATTATTTCTGGGAGTGTAATGGTACTTGTGGACAATGCTTCCATCAAACTGTGCTAGCACACTCTTTGAGTGACCCCACCCACAAGCTTCCTTTAATTTCTCATTGCTTATAACGCGTACCTGCAGCACACAGGAATACACAGTCGGTCCTCAGATAACCATGAGGAGACTAAGCTGGCTGGGATAGATGACACTGCACTTGGAGAAAAGCAGAACACTGTCGCTGGATGCGTATGCAGCATCTGAGACAACATCAGGCTGGTGAGGTGCCGACTCTCACAGGACAGCAGAATAGAGGATTAGAGGAGGAAATTGGGTTGCTGAACAGTGAAAATGGATAAAGATTATGGGCAACGCATAGAGCAATGGAGTTAACTGCACAGGGCTTTGAGAAGAGCAAGGCAACAGAAGGCAGCATCCAAGAGAGACCTGGAGCTCTGGATAATAAAGGGAAAGGCAGCAACTGCTGGTCATGGGGGTGAGACAACATCTCTGTGGAAGACAAAGGACATTATAAGGAGAGGGAAAGGCAGCAAGGTGTGATAAGCAGTATGCCAGTACTAATAAATACTGTTGGAAAAAGGCCAACCAGCTGAACCAGGGCTGTCTGTAAACAGTGTCAACAAAGTTCTTACTAAAGACATACTTGTGGAAGAAGTGAAAAACAACTGTATAGGTGCTTTTAAATATTTCTTTTTTGTATTGGAGTAAACACTTCGGGTTTTTTAATGGACATAAATTAAATTGGGAATGTACTTAAAAATCCATAACCTTGAGCATAAAATAAAATAAAAAAAAAGAAAAAAGAAAAAAAATCCCAACCTTGCCTTTTTTCCTTATCATTTTATAAAAGACATGTGACTGTCTCAACCTAGAACAAGATATAGCTCCCAGCAACTTCAGGGTTTAAGTGTTGAATTGGCCTAAAATATTCCGCCAGTTAGCTCTGATGAACACTGGAGATTACTGATGGGGTGGTATCGATTCAGGATGTAAGACATTTGCAATAAAGGTAGGAAGGGTGCACTTTCTCATGGAGAAGACTTATTTGGCTGTTGGAAGACTTATTTTGCTGCTGTACTCAGCTGGCAGGCAGGCACTTTCCCCTCCCAAAGCTGCCCAACGCTTGGGGCCACCCTCCCCTAAGTGGTACCACTGGTAGCTTGCACTGCTTTATGTTTCCTGCCCAAAAGAGTTGCTGATTTCTTCCCCTCCTCCCAGCAGAGCATCACACAAAGATCAGGCAAAAGCCTTTGAGATTAAATTGTAAGTGATTAAAATTTTCATTATTTTGTGAACTTGTTCTACATATTAAAAAGCCCTAATGGAACTTGCACACATTTGTGCAGGTAGAAAGGCACATGATGATAGGAATTAAGGAAATTAATTCCTGTGCTGTGGACAGAAGTAATCTTCCAGAATGTAATTGGCTTTCAATCATTCATACACAGCATGCCCTTCACCTTTAAATGGTAATTCATTTTACCATAGAGGTTTTGAATGCCATTTATATCAGGCTTTAAGAAAGCTCCCATCTATGTACCAGAACACAATGAATATGTTTTGTCCAGGAGGAGACCACAGGAGAAGGTAACTCAGATTTCTAATGTATGTATCGCTAGGAGGTTTTACCGTTTCTGTGGCCCTTAACAAGGGGGAATGCAGAACGCGTCCTGGATAGACCTGAAGCAGCAATTCCTCCAGCACCACAAGGTTAACAACACCACCTCTCCTGAAACAACACCACCTCTCTCGCTATTTTCTTGCGATGCTGAGCTCTGTGTGGGACAAGGTAAAATGGATATGAGCATACAAGACTTTTCAGGGCTGTGCCTAGATCACGGCAGAGCTGTGCACAGTGACGGTAAACATAGCTTGTCTGCTTTAACAAAAGTAACAGGAATCTGGAAAATCTCACCATCTATAACTTTCCTTCTCCCATGGATGTGAGAGAAAGACTACAGCGGAAATATCTGGAAGCACTGGGCTTAGTCTAGTTGCTTCTGGAGTTGCTTCAGCCCACCCTCTACAGTTGACGTAACTGTAACATGTTACAGGTGATGAAGTGTATCCTTCTGACAAAAAGGCCTTCTGCAAGCCAGGTTCGGTATTTAAATCTATTTTCTCTTGCCCGTATTTTCATTTTGCACATCACATCCTATCATTCTGTGATGTTTTATCTCACTCAAACTAATATCAGCCCTGGCTGACAACCAAGGAGACTGTAATGCTGGCATCCCTGCCAAATGGTTAGGCATGTCCTGGACACAGACAACAGATGCTTATATTTAAATTAGGACTAATTTGCATTTTTGTGTATTGTGGAATTTTTAAAGCATAGGTTTAGTAATGAAAAGGAATATATAATTCTGAAATAGCAATAATTTCCTTTGAAAAGCCAGGTTTGCTAATGGATTGCCATCTGTTCAACCCTTTGCCAGAAAATAGATTTGTCCTGCTTACTGAAAACAGTATTAGGGTGAAACTGTAGATTACACAGTGGATTTCCGAGCAGTTTAATTTAAAGCACAGGCTAGCACTTTGCTATTTCAGTAAAAATAACTTCAGATTCTCCCTTTCTACTCATGCCGGAATTTAAGCCAGAAAACTGTATTTAGAGTACTTTGTGGGCTGTTTTGTTCTCAGTTGGGTTCTAGAAAAGGTGCCTACCTCTCTTTTATCATTTTGAAACTGAGTTTGTGTTTCCTTTGCATAGGATTTACAGCAAAAAACCTCTCTTACTTCCAAAACCCATCTTATTCCTCTAAAAAAAACCCACAAACATTTAAAACGCCAAGGCACTGACCTCAATTATGCTTTCAAGAGTATAAAATTTTTAGGGGCTGGGTGCTTCTTGGAGCCTCTGGATGCAACTGAGGAGAAAGGATAACGCTGCAATTCAGGATGCTGCACTGGGAGCTGTTGGACCTCTCTACCCAATGGAACGGTAGGAGCAAAACAAATCAGAATGGTAAGTTACTTTTCCCTGTAACCCACAGAAATCTAATGACGTTTCTGCTAAGCCTTGTTACGGGAACAAATCCACTGCAGGGGAAAGGTCCAATTTTTACAGCCTGGAGGTAAAAGCTGAATTGTAACATAACTTCGAGATTTCAGCATCCTCTTACACTATCTGTATAAGGTTACTGACACAGACTCAAGGCTACCCAAGCACCACCCGTGCTCCCTACCCAGTCCGAGTAACTATCTCCGGAGATCGTCAGAGCCGCTCTTTTGTAGGGTAACATAATTACCGTCGCCAAACAGAGGAGTCACGATCTCTTCCTCGCACACCCTACACTCCCGCGCAACCCCCAAAAAGCCACATTTTGCCGGCAAACGACGCTCTCGTCCAGAGGTTCGGACTTCTGACTCGCCGGCGAACGGCGCTGCCCCACCACCGAGCATCCCCCGCCCAGTCACCTGCGGGGGTGGCGACGCGGGGCCCCGGGCGCCGAGCCACGGCGGGGGCGCCGACGGGGGAGCCCCGCAGGGCGGGGACAGCGGAGCGGCACCGAGGAGCGTCTCCGGAGCGGAGCGCTGGCCGCGTCCCGCGCTGCCGCCGCGCTGCCGGCGGCGGGATGCCAGCCCTACCCCGGCCTCTGCCCGCACAAAGTTTTATTGCCTCCGTGTTAGCTCTTCTCCCGCCGCGCACCTGAGCCCCGCGGGGAGGCGCCTGCCCGCTGCCCGCCGCCACAGCCGACCCCCGGCATAGCGGGGCCGGAGCGCTGCCGCGGCAGCGCCCGCCGCGCTGGGGCTGCGGGGGCAAAGCCGGCGCCGTGCCGCGGTGCCCCCCGGGCAGGGCGGCCGGGCAGGCGCGGCCGGGCAGGGCGGCCGGGGAGCGGCGGCAGCCGCGCTTACCTCTGTCCAGCGTGAGCGGCTGGACCACTGTCAGTGTCGCCATGTCTGCGGCGGGGCTGGAGCCCGAGTGACGCGCGGCTCCGGCACCGGCGTGGAGTGCGGGGAAGGGCGGGGAGGAGGCTGGCAGAGAGAGTGGGCGGAGGAGGAGGGTGGCTCCGTGGGAGGAGGAGGCGAGCGGGGCGGAGAAGGTGCCCAGGGGAGGGCGGCTCATCGCGCACGGGCCGCCGCGATGCTGCGGAAGCAGGGCGGCCCGGCGGGGCCCGGCGCGGGCTGCCGGCATCGCTGCACCACCGGGGCCGAGCCCTGCGGGCAGTCCCCGCCTCGCCGCGCTCGCCTCGGGGCCGAGACCGGGGACCACGGCGGCCCGGGCCGTGCGCGGGGCCGGGCTGTCGCCGGAGCCGCCGCCCCGGGATGCCGCAGCAGTCGGCGGAGGGAGAGAGAGGGGCGAGGCGGGAGCTCCGCAGCGCCGCAGGGCGGGGAGGACCGGCGGGGGCCGGATCTGGCGGCCCGGCCTCGCCTGGGCCGGGGGCGGCGGGGCGGGACGTGCCGTGCTGGGCTGTGCCCTTGTGCTGTGCTCCGTGCGGGCCCGTCCCGGGGCTGGGCGCTGGGCAGCGGCACGGGGGGCCGTGTGCGTGGGCGAGTCCCTCCTCCGAGGGCTGCAGGGGGAGGGAAACCCGCGTGCGGAGCCGGGAGAGGCGGTACCTGGCGCTGTGCATGGCCTCGGATTAAGGGACATACCATGTAGCGACCGTTTTCGATGGATCAAGACGTCGGCCTCATGACCAGTCCTGCCATCACCTCTTTTCTAAGTGCTGCGTGCGGCCGGCCGGCCGGCCATCCTCGGTAAACACAGCACTCCCAGCACTCTGCACGGCCAGGGCCCGAGTTGTCACGTTTGCAGAAGGCGAGGTTGGTCGCAGACACGTGGTGGCTCACCGCCTCTTGCAAATGTAGCTTGTGTGAGCCTGGAGGCCTCCACAGAAGGCCATTCGGGAAAGGTGGAATTTAACTCTGGAGCTCTGTGAGGTTTGCCGGCAGCTTTCTGGTTGTCTACCCTTGTCCACATGAAGAGAAAGGAAGGTGGTCAGCTGCTATCCGAGAAAGGTGTGGCACTGTGGCGGAATCCCACAGAGTTTCTGCTGCTTTCTCTGGTGGACAGTGGTGTAGAGAAATAAATGGCTCCGTGAAGAATGATGTCCTCTTTAGCTATTGCCCAGTAAAGCACCTGTGGTCTTGTGTTCTCCTAAGGAGAACTGGGATAGGGTGGATCGTCACTTAAAGGGAAAGGTAGCAGTCTCCTCACCCACTGGGTTTTGACATATCACAAACAATTAGAAAGTGCAGCAGTTCAAGGTTGCACATCAGTAAAAACTTTTGCTGCAAGGCTGTTTAAATGCTACTGTAGATAATTAGGGAAGCTGTGGAAAATTTGCCATTAAAAGTTTTCAGAGCAGATTAAAAATATATTTGGTTTTAAAATTAGAGAAGTTTAAAAAGATATATAAATATGAACCACCTATTTCTTCTGATAAACTGAATTCAACACAAATTTCTCTAATTAATAACAACAAACAGTAGCCTGTTTGGTTATCTTGGCAAAAAAATGTTTCAGTTGACTAAAATATCAAAGAGAAATCAGTGCCTGACAAACAGTTTTTAAAATCAAAATTAACATAAGGATTTTTATTATGCAAAGTTTACATACTTGCATAGCAGCTGGGTTGACATAAAGTGTACTAACTCCTCTTGAGTAGTCACGCTGGTATATATTGGATTCATAGTCCCAAACGGAGAAGAAATACACATTGGAGCTATAACAACCTAATCTGACGACACTAAAACTGTTATGACACTTGAAAAAACTTTATTACAGATATAAAAGTGTCTTTAAATAATATTAAGAACAAGGTGCCAAGTAAATTAACCCTCAGTAAATTAACCCCACAACCCTCAGACTTGCTTTCTTAAAGTGCCATCTCGCAAACAGACATTTTTAAGCAAAATACTGTTACCAGAGTAACTTTTCCGCCAATAAACTTCTTAGAAGAATAGAACTTGAGAAAAATCAATGTTTGGACTTGAGCAGGGTGCCTGTGGAAAGCAGTAAGCTTCCTCTGGGTTTATCCTTTTTTTATCTACCATTGGTCAGATTTTGTGTGTCACGAGGACTAATTGGCACTTAGATGAGAGACTTGAATGGAAGTATTAGCTGCACTCAAGGAAGGTGAAAAGAAGCATTTGCTGAAATTAAGCTTTTTCTGATTGGCATAGCTGCACAGTTAATTCTCAAGAACATTAAAGACCCAGCTGAGGAATACTTTTAAGCAGCTGAACTGGAAAAATTGCAGAAGTTGTACAGCTGCATTCAGCAACTAGAGAAAGGGGTGGAATGAGGCAGGGAGCTGTGCAGTAGCTCTTGCTTTGCCAGCTCCCAGGAGAAACAGTGGACTCCAATAGCAAAAGTTAACAGTCGAAAAGGATGAGTGCCAGCCAGCCTTCTGTTTTAGAATGTGTATCTTTTTGGACATAATCAACTCACCTGATTCTCAGTCTTCTTGTTGATTCCTTGGGCTGTATTGGACCTTTTAATTCAATATCACATTGTTTACTAAACCAATGAAATTAGACTGAATTAACAGATTTTATATATGTTATGTGGATTATAAACTGGTTTACTGACATATCTCTTAACAAGCAGTCAGTGATCAGGTGCCAGTGAACAAGGCTATTGCTAGTAAGATGCTTGTAGACTTTTTCTGGCTAAATTTTTAAACAAAATTTAGTAATTTGTCCAAGCACCTAAAATGTGGATGTAAAGGTTTCCATGACTATGCTTGTAATATACAGATTGTATATTAAAAAAATAACAGTGAAAGTGGGTAAACATTGAAAGAGGTCCAGAGAGGCTGTGAAATTAACTTGACTGAGAAAGGACCTGAACAACCTGTTCCTATTGTGACAGTAGCCTGGCTTTGAGCAAGAGATTAGACTGAATATTTTTCAGGTCCTTTTAAACCTAAATTATTCTATTGTTCTCTAAGAAACTGTCCAAATTACTAGTAAGAATTATCTGAATATCTGGATTTAATTGTTAAGTTTTAAAAATAATGTGTTTTAGTGCTCCTGCAAGTAAGTGATGAAGAATGCAATAGTTACTTCCAGGACTGGAGGTTGTTTTGGGGAGGGGTGTTCTTCTGTAGCAGGTTCAGTGTAAGTTCTTGGTTTGCTGTTGCCAAAAGGACTAATGCAATCCTTCAGTATGTAAATGAGGAGTGGCAAATACATACAGGGAAATGATCTTTCTTGTGTACTTAGCACCCATAAAATAATTGACCAGAATACTGTGTCCAGATCTGATGTTTGCCTTCCAAGATAGAAAGTCGGCTTTGACTTGAGGTTTAAGGACCTTAGACAAAATTAATCAAAGAAAAGGGTAAGAAGGAAATTAATTACTGTGTGTAGGAAGGGGCATAAGAGTGGAGGGATTTATAGTCTTTAAATTTGTAGTCTGATGACATAAGGTGATCCCATGACTGGAAGTTTAACAAATGCAACCTTGAGTAAGCTATGCTATTCTAGCAATAAGGATAACATAGGGACCAATTACTCATGGTTGCTTGAAATCTAAACAAGAATCAGAGGTCTTTCTAAATGGCTTGTTTTGATCTAACTTCTGAAGAAAATAGAATGGCTGAGGTACTCAGGAGGTTAGATGAGATAATGAATGTGATCTGTTGCTCTCCTGACTTTATGACCCTTTGGCTTCCCTCAAGAATTGGTGCTACGAGGGCCAGAGAATTATTTCTGCACAGCACAGTGCAATGCAATATGGGAAAACCCAGCACAACTCTGAATATACTCATTGGCTGCCAGAGTAGCACATCTAAGCTTTGCATGGCATAATTCATAGAACCATACAATGGTTTGTGTTTTAAAGGACCTTAAAGATCATCTAGTTCCACCCCCCGCCCCCCCACGATGAGGATCATCTTCCACTAGACCATGTTGCTCAAAGCCCCATCCAACTTGGTCTTGAACACTTCCAGGGATGGGGCATCCACAACTTCTCTGGGAAAGCTGTTCCAGGTTTTGAGTATCCTCATAGTGAAGAATTTTTTTTCTAGTATCTAAACTAAAACTACCCTCTTTCAGTTTGAAGTCCTATCACTACGTGCCCTTGTGACAAGTCCCTCTCCAGCTTACTTGTCAACCCCTTTTTGGTACGGGAAGGTCCTATAAGGTCTCCCCAGAGCCTTTTATTCTGAACAGATGCAATGCTCTCAACCTGCCTTTATAGGAGAGTGTTCCAGACCTCTGATCATCTTGATGATGCTCCTCTGGGCTCACTCCAACAGGTCCATGTTCTTGGTGCAGCGTAGGATAAGATTGGCTTTCTGGACCACAAGCACAAAATGCTGGGTCATGTTGAGTTTTTCAGTTAATTAAGATGCTGCCCCATGACTAGAATACTGTGGTAAGTGCAGCTATTTGCTTCAGTACCAGAGCCATCCCTAACAGAGGTGGAAACCCTGTCTATGGTGGCTACAGGGGTTTGTAGCAAGAGGCACAGCTAAATCTGTGTTTGGGTTACACAGCACTGTTTTATGCTTTTTAGCCATATTCTGGATATTAGTCATTGGACTAAATGTCTTGTCGGGATTAAATTTTGTCTTGAGTGCTTAACGTTTGGGTTGCTACCTACATTTCCCATGAAATTTCACTTTGCTGCAGGATTTTTCACATCCAGCCTTACACTGGGAAGTTTGTTGGTCAGCTACTTTATTTCACAGTGAGGTTACAAAATGTTTACGCAGATTTTTTTAAATGCAATGTGTTGCTCCACTGCTCTTGTATTGACTTGATTCCCTCTGGGGAATGTCACACACTCAATTTGCAGGATGATCACTCTATCTGTTATTCCACAATTAAGCATAGGTTGGTAATATTTGCACACTGCATGAACCTCTAGTTTATTTCAGAGAACAGTCCGAGTACAGAGAACTTTCAAGACCTTAGATCACGTAGCACAGGTTCAGAACACACATTTAACCTCTTCTCCTTTTTGTGTTTCACTTTTACCCTGCACTTCATCACAACTAAAAACAGAGATTGCAGGAATGTTGTAATATGTGTTGTGAATTCTCAGAAGACTGAAGATTTTTGTCATCATTCAGATTTGCTTTTTGAGTGGCATTTTGCATGTAAAGGGGAAAGAATCCTTCAATTTTTCACAAAATCCATTGGTTATTTTCCATGCAGTTTCCATGGCAGAACTTCCATGGCAGAAATTCGATGGTTTAACAGCAGTTTGTTTATTGGGCAAAGTGCTATACTGGTTGCCCATGAGAATTGTGATTTAGTGCTTTCTGAGAAATATATGCATTACTTACAAGTACAGCTGATTTTGTCCCAGGAGAGCCATACCATCTCAAATAATGGTTCAGGTGAGCTGAAAAGTCCTACTATGGATGCATAGCTGGGTTTAGTTCAGTATTTTTCCACTGTATTACCCTGTACTGCACTTCACTACGGGACTGATTTTTACATTCTAATACT